CTTTCTAATAATTAATTAATATAGAGACATATGGGAAGGTCTCCTTGCTGCGAGAAAGCTCACACCAACAAGGGAGCCTGGACCAAAGAAGAGGACGAGAGGCTCACTTCCTACATCAAAGCCCACGGCGAAGGCTGCTGGCGCTCCCTCCCCAAGGCCGCCGGCCTTCTCCGCTGCGGCAAGAGCTGCCGCCTCCGCTGGATCAACTACCTCCGCCCCGACCTCAAACGCGGCAACTTCTCCTCCCACGAAGATGACCTCATCATCAAACTTCACTCCATCCTCGGCAACAAGTACGCTAATAACCTAGATTCACCCAAATTTTTTTTTATCTAATTAATCAATTAATGCATTCCCTGATAATATATATATATAGGTGGTCACTTATAGCGGGAAGGTTGCCGGGAAGAACGGACAATGAGATAAAGAATTACTGGAACACGCACATAAGGAGGAAGCTGCTCAGCCGCGGAATCGATCCCGCCACTCACCGGCCCCTCGGCGACCCGCCAAAGGAAGACGACGTCACCAGCACCATATCCTTCGATCATTTACCCCAACAACAAGAAGACGACGGCACCAACGGCCGCCGCCGCCTCGAATGTTGCCCGGACTTGAACTTAGATCTCACAATCAGCCCCCCGGAGTGGACTGCCGGATCTGATCTGGAGAAGGCGGCCGCCGCTGACAGTAGCAGGGGCGCTGACCCTGCTCTAAGGTCAGTTTTGTGCTTTCCGTGCAGTTTGGGGATAGAGAAGAGCCCACACTGCACCTGCGGCAACAACGCCCATGGAAACGGATGTTATTCTGCCACCGTGAGCACCGCCGCTAGCAGCACTGCCGCCGGCTGCTACGACTTTTTAGGGGTAAGGAAAAGCGATCATATATGCTTGTAACGATTGTAGTATCTGTTTTGTTTTATACACAATTCCGTGTTTTTGAATGGATTGAAATTTAAAACAAGCCAGCAGAGTCTGCCGGACAATTCTACCGGACAGAACGCCCTGCAGCTTCCTCAGTAGTGAAAAAACATTATTCCACCCATCTTCAAATAATTTATTTATCTCTTTAGGGCAAAATCTGTAGGGGGTTCTACAAATAATATAATCTTGTCACCTACAGATTTTTCCAGTCACTATTCTCATGAAAAGTTCTACCCGACAATTCAATTTAACTTTTTATGTAGTTTATTATTATATGAATTTTATTTTAAAATTTTACTTCTATAATCAATTAAATTAAAATGAAAATAAAATCGGTCAAGCATCATAACACATAAAAGAAAGATTCTCTTAAATGAGAGGTTTGCATATTTAAAAGATGAAATATATAGTGTAAGAGGTTACATGCATGTATAGGGATAGTGGAGATAGATATTATCCCGTACATTGTGAATTTCTTAAGATTTGAAAATTACTACCTCTGTCCCAAATTATTTGCAACGTTTGCTTTTTGAGCAATCGCGGGAACTTTTGTTTATTTCTACGTTTTCATTAGTTCTTTGATAAAATAAAATATTCTTGACATCTCTTATTTCGAAGAACTTTTCATGTAGTTTTTTTATGTAAATTCTATTTTTTATTTCTATACTAATATGTAAATAAAATGAATTGAAAAAATTTGATATTTTGACTCGGGAATACAAATGTGACAAATATTTAGGAAAAGGAGGGGATTTGCATTAAATAAAATTAGATGGAGGGACCGGGCTATAGCCTATGGGTGGTTGGAGAAGGGTGCCAATTCAATTTCAAAGTGAATAAATACTAGGTTGAGGAGTTGGATTTGTTGCTTGATTTATGGATCCGTTTTCCAAAGCTAAGCCATTGCTTGGATCATAAATGAAAATGGAGGAAAGAAAATACTCCCTCTGCCCGGAAATTTTCTTCCCATGTTGACTTGGCACGCTTATTAAGGAATAGTAAAAAAAATGTAAAATTTTCAAAAATACACAAACTATAAACTTTTAAATATTCTTTTATTATTAAAAAAGTATTAAAAAAGTAGATTTGTGATAAAATAGAAGAGTATTATTGATATTTAGCCTTAAAAAGCATACTAAAAAAGGAAATGGGAAGATTATTTTCGGACGGACCAAAAAGGAAAATGGGAAGAATATTTCCGGACGGAGGGAGTAATAAAAAAGAAAATGGAGAGAAAATTAGGAAATAAAATTTATTGGTTGGACAAATTAAATATGAAGAGTGATGAAAAAGAATTTCAGCACATGAGAAAATGCAATAAGAAAGCACAGAGCTCATCAAGAACACGAAGAATAAGAGCATCTCCAATCATGCTTGCTAAACAAAGCTTCCTAAAGTTATTTACTAACATGTGAATAGTGGTATAGCAAGTCATTTCACATGATCATCTCCCACCTTTGCTTGCTATAATTTAGCAAAAATGTATTGATTTCACTATTAGAGTACATTATTTATTATGATTTTAAAATTTTATTATAAAAATTAATTAATATTCTAGAAGTATGCAATTTAAACTTAAAACAAAATAAATTTTATAATTTTTTTGGTAAAAAATAAAACTATTTTTTTGTAAAAAACATAAAATAATATTTATTTATATTTCTTGCGTTGTGGTACTGAGAGTGAGGGAACAAATGTGTCATGGTACATGAAAAAACTAACTCAACCAACATTTTTCTTCTTCTTTTTGGCTTGCTATATTTTATCAAGTTTGTTATTAGTAGCAAGTTATTTTCATTTTTAAGCAAGCTTGTCAAACATTAGCAAGCCCCTTGGAGTATGAAATTTTACTTAATTTGTCAAATTCTAGCATATAGCAAGTCCTTTTAACATGGTTGGAGATGCTCTAACGCAACTAGCTAGTTGGGGAATATAATGGGGGCTCGCTCCTACTTAAAGGTACAGTGTAACATTTGAATCATATATGGGAAGTGACAAACATAATAGTTCAATCATAGCTAACTTGATCTTTCTCCGCCCTCGACTATGAACCATGTGGTCCCGCCTCTTCAGCGATTGGATGCGGTCAATCACAGAAGAACGATACCACTTCCCAATCATGCGATTGGGCCAGGCTCATATACTGATTAGCCTTGTGTGTTGGGGCTTTAATGTTGGGCTTGTTGCCCTTCTTTAAGTTATATGTCAAAAAAATCTTTTGACAAAAATATGAAAGATGCATAAAGTATCTTTTTTCGGAAGAAAATTATGCATTTTTAGATCTTTTGTTTTTTATGGTTAAAATCTTATTTTATTTAATTAAATATTTTGATATATATTCTTTTCGTCCCAAAATAGTTTACAATCTTTTTTTCTCTCTTCTCGATAATTTTTGTTTATTTGTATTTTTTGATTGAATATTTGGTAAAATAAAATATTCTTGTCACTCTCGTTTTGTAGAACTTTTAACATAATTTTTTAATATGTAATTTTTATTTTTTTTTAATATATCGATTTATAAATAAAATAATTTCAAAGACAATTTCATGGGTTAAACTTCGTTCCAATTTGCAACCACAATAAAATAAAATAAGAATATAACGCATGTAATTAATCAAAGTCAATTTTGAAGTTTGACCGATCACTAAGCACTCTCGATTAATTATTTCACAAAACACTAATTCGTGACAAACAACTCATTATTAAGGGGCGGACGACGTACGTAGAAGCATCATGCGACATAAGCACTCAGCCAAAAGTTATAAGTTAAGGGTAATAAAACATTATTATGAATCAAAATTTTCCGGCAATGAGATGGTTAGCCAGGGCCAAAACAATGCCGCAAACGTATCGAGCCTTTCCGGCCAGCTCCTTGAAATCAAACGGCTCACCGTTTGGCGGCGTAAAAAGCTTGTCGCAAGTGTCAATCTCCTGCACAGCATTCACCACAAGAGATTGCACCGTCCGGTAACCGCCGCCGCCGGATTTCAGCACGGTTCCGATGTCGATCAGATCGTTGACGGCTTTCGTGTACGCCACCCCGCACTTGTTGAAGGAATTGTGCAACTCGTGGTTCTTGAGCATCGTGTCTATTTCTCGGACGTGAACCTCGTCGTACACCAGGCGCACGTACGTCACGCTGGATTCGACCGTTTTTTGGGCCAGACCGAGAAGGGTCGTGCCGGGCGTATTAAATGGCTTCAGGAAATCTGAACAGAACTTTTGGTTCGGTGTCTCGGAGCAGATGGTGCTGATCAGATCGGCGGCTTTCACATTTGCCGGGATGCAAAGACAAATGGTGAAGAGAAACATGTGATATGGTGAAGAAACCATTTTTTATTGTGACCTTTTTTTATTATTATTTGGGACTTGATAATTTATCTCAGGGTGATATGTTTTTCTTTTTGCGATACTTCTTTGGACTATATTTGGCCTAATTTATATATACACGTAGTTCTCTAGAGATGGGAATAATGAGATGTATAAATGGGAGAATATATGCGTTTTAATCTATTTTTACTGAATTGTGCAATTATGAGCAACATATCTTGGCAATTAATTTTACTTTATTACTGATTCAATTTTTATTTATTGACCACACAATACGATTCAAAAGAATGCATTCAATAGTTAAAAAATGAAGTAACAACTTAGGAAAAAGTTATAGTTAATTGAGAAATTTGTTTAAATAGTACCAAAACATAACGACTTTTCTAATATAATATAGTACTATTATTCAATGTCCACCGGTCATTGTTCAAGTAAATGTCCACTCCTACTGAACATTATTCAAACTAAACGTTCACCATTACTGGATATTGTTCCTGCTATTAGACATTATTTAAGTACTATTTAGAGAATTAAAAAAATTTAAATGCTAGATTAAGAAATAACGTTTGTTATAGTGCTATTTAGTACAGATTTCATGAATTAATTACTCGGTATATCTTTAGTAATATATATACTCCGTAATAGGTTATATACATTCGCATATACAGTGGTGAACTTAAAACGTACTCCGGGTATAAAGAGAACGGAGTATGTACATTTTGTCCAAATACATGTTGCTACTTACCGAGTAATTTAAACAATTTAATGCTTCAAAAAAAAAACTGCAGTACTTAAGAAATGGAAGTAACTATTTTGCACTCAATTCACAATAAAAAAACTTGTTCAAAATCTAATACCTAGTGACAACCTCATAAACTCTTTTTTGAAATATTCTGTGACTAAATATAATATAATGTTGATATTGATATATTGATGCATTTAGACGATAACACGACACATGAGTCATCTATCATGGACGGCTCTATTTGGGTGAGAGCAGATGTTATTGACTCGTTGCATCCATCCCATCTCATCAACATTGACAAACTCCTATTTAGAATAACAAGTTTAATAAAAAGAGGAATTAATTAATTGTAATTGGGCGGCTCGTTCTTCTTCTTCGCCTTGAGTTGAGCCTCAGCCGCAGCGGCTTTGACAATGGTAGAAGCTTTGATGGTGGTTTTAGGATTGAGAGCCTTCCTCAGCTTAAACACGGCACACGCGGTCCCAAACGCGTGCCCTGCCGCGTCAAACCCTTCTCTTGTCACCTCCGCCGCTTTCTCCCCGTGCCTCTGGGAAACAAGACCGGTCGCGACAGAGGATGTTGTGGACATGACATTCTTTCCGGCCACTTCTATGGCATCGCACACCTTGTCTGTTTGTTCATCAATCTCAATGTCAAGATCAAAATTACAAGTGGGAAAATATATAACAGACTACTAGTAGTCGTAATTTAGTGGGACTTACTAAAGCCATCCAATGAGGCAAGAACGATTTCCACGGGAAGAAGGCTGAAGAACTTTTGGCCAGCTTTAGAGCTTGCAATGGAGCTGGTGAAGAGGGTGGACACCTTTACCACCCCGGCAAGTATACCAGTTGCCACCTTCTCCGACATCTCTGTCACATTCTTCACCCTGTATACCACAACCACTCATAAAACATTTTAGGCTTGCTATATATATATATATATATATATATATATATATATATATATATATATATATATAATTGAATTTGATTGAATCCATTAGCTATCTCAGCTCAAAATCATTTCCAGTCTGTGTCATCCGTTTTATGATGGATGAAAACTAATAATTGATCTATTTATTCGCCAAAATATACTTAAATACTCCCACCGTTTTTTTAAAGTGTTCCTATTTTGACTTTGTGTAAAAATAAGGAAGTGTTAAATTGTAGTTGACTTCCAATTTTGCCCTTGATGTGATGGGTAAAAGTAAGATATGATGGATTGAGTATTAGAGAAAAAGTATGATGTGATAGGTAGGGTATGAAAAAGTAAGGGTAAAAGTGGTTTTTTAAAAGAAAGTGGAAGTGTTTTGTTGGTAGTAATAAAATTGAAAGATGAAGAGTTTTTGAAAAGGGATGGAGTATCAAATTTAGTCAAATAGGTCAATTTAAAATCTCTCAAGCCTATCTAGTGTTTGAATTAAATTGTGATTATTTCAATTTAAAATATTACACCTTCCTACAAAACATTTTTTCTTCCAAAATTTAAGTGTTCCCAAAAAAACCTTTGAGATGTTGGAGTCATCATCATGAGCACCTACCCCAGTGAGAAATTTGCTTGACGAGCTACTGAAAATCCACAATTCTATTCGCTAACTAAAGCGCAAAGTAAGTATTTATCAAAAACATCTAATAATAAAATACGAGTAGATCAGAATGAGTTGTAGTCTTTTGCAAATAAAAAATGATTGAAAATTAAATCATAAATTAAAAAAGGATTGTGAATCAATCTTACTTGGCATTCCAAATTCCAAGTTTGCCAATCAATGTAAAAAGTGTGTATGGTCTTGGAATGCAAGAACTTTGAACTAAATTTTCTATTTCTGACTTTTGAAATCATTAAAAAAAAAAATCTCTCTCGAAAATACCTTTTCATTCTTTTCAAGGCGGTTGGACTGATCTGGGTTGCAGCGCCGCCATTCCCGGCCATCCTCTTGGCGAGAACCTCGTGCCCCCACTTCAATCGATCCACCGCAACATCTCCGCACCACAATATTCCCCTCACCAGATGACCCGACCCGGCCGCGATCATTCTCGCGACCCTTCCGCTGTAGTCCTCCACGTTGGGAGCCAGAGTGGTCCAGTACGCCGCCGCACTCCTCTCCGCCTCCTCCTTCTTCTCCCTCCTCTCCATCTCCGCCGGAGAGACCTCCCTCGCCGCCTCTCCCCAGCCCACCGCCGGCGACTTCTCGGCCCTGAAGGCGCTGTACTTCTCCAACACCCGGTCCAGATCTCTCAGCTTCCCCTCCTGCCCCCTGGCGGCAACGGTCAGGCCGTAATTGAGCATGTTCTCCGAGGAATCGATCCGGATCTCCCTCTCGTCGTCATCGGATGCGGGTCCCGCGCCCGCCGGAGTCCGGAGGGCGAAGAAGTAGTGAGAGTCGTCCAGCTTCACGGTGGCCTCGTCTTTGGCCAGGGGCCACTGTATGTCGCGGCCGACGCGGGCGAGAACGGCGACGACGTTGTTGTCCTGTTTGAGGCGGACGATGGTGAACTCGCCGCAGGCAAGCTCGACGCTCCGGTCTGAATCGATCAAGTGAACCATGGAGCCGGGGATCCGGATTATAACTTCCTCGGATGATTCAAAACCGGAATTGGACCCCGACATGTTTGGGCATGAAGATTTGGACATGGTTGAGACTGGAATCTGATCTTTTTCTTGCAGGCCAGGGGAAAAGTTGTGGCCGGGGGGTCTAAATGATTTCTTTTATTTATGGGGAATGAAATGGGGGAGAAAGACGGTTAGGAGGTGTGTTAATACGTGTAGTATTCGCGGAGGTGCAGAGGGGTATTATCATCATCATCACCATATTAAAAAAAAGATATTTAAATGAAACTTACCACAGAAGAAATCTAATAAGCGCGGGTGTTTGTAGAGTTCTAGTGGTCTTCCAAGTATAGAATATCTTGCCTCCCACCTATAATATTATCCTCTATCTCATTCTCTATAGTTGGGGAAAAAAAAGTTTATCCCAAAAAGTATACTTCTTTCGTCCCAAAAACACTTTCTGTTTTATTTTTTTAATCAAATAATGATACTCTTTGATTACAAATTAATCATAATTTAAATAAATAAATTTTATAAAAATTTCTTGTTTTGAAATTATATTTTAAGATGAACCCATTTATACTGGATTCAAATTATAATTTAATATATTTTTGTTATAATTTGTGGTCCAAATATGTCATTGTTTGGCTAAAAAAGTCAAAAAATGAAGTATTTTCAGAATTCAAGTAATTTTTAAAAATATTCAAAAACTAAAGTATTTTAAATTCGCTAGGAAAGTAGACACTTTTATAGGTTCGATTTAAATATTTTTTTTTAAAAAAATTACTACTCCTTTATCTCTCTTATTTCTTTTTATTTGATTTTTTACGATTTTCAATAATACAATTTGATTATTAATATTTTTTGAAAAATTCTTTTTGGCTAGGAGTTAAAAAAATTATAAAAAGTCTTAAGTGTTTTAAGACCAAAATTTGAGTATAATTAGAGTGTGGTGTAACAGTACGTGTTAGAAGTGCGATGAAATTTTTTTACAATGTAATACTTGTGTGATCAGTCAATCATCGGTTATCCGCGACGACACTCTGATAGTAGTTTGGTCATTACAATGTAACAATGTGGTAAGTGTGTTAGCGTAACAATGACAGTGTGAATTTTTATTTTGGTCTTAAAAAAACTTATTACTCCTATTTTGATATTTTTATAATTTTTACTCCTATTCAAGTAGTTCTCCCATATTATTATTTATAGATAGACATATTATATAAAATGTAATATTTTAAAACTATGTTTAAAAATAAATTTATTGGTATTAAATTTATATCAGGATTCTGAAAAGAAATTATATATTTTTTTGTAATTTGTAATCAAATTTTTATAAAAATTAACAATGACAGTCAAAACGAAAGTATTAAAAAAGGACGGAAGGAGTAGTATTGTAAAAGTAAACATAACAAAAAATTTCTATCCGGAAGATAGAGGATTTTTATGGTAGAGGTTGAATAAAATGCGTATGAGATCATTAAAAAAATAAAGAATAAAAATACCTTTATCCATCATTGATAACTACAGAATGGACCATGCTACATTTACACCAAAAATTGTACCCCATTTGCACACCGCAGTTATACACAAACATTTTGATGGTTTACACCGACACAAATGTTGGTGTGTTAACAAAAATTTACACGGACACAAAGTAATGGTACGTTAACAAAAATTAGTTTTACACTAACACAAAATGTTGGTGCAAAACTGCGGGGTACAAAGTGGGGTACAAAAGGTTGGGGTAGAAGTAGCTTTATCCCTACAGAATACACACATTGCGTCAGTATTTTCTTAGTTGATTAAAAACCGCTAAAGTCTTATCATTGTCTTATAGATACTGGTATATAATTATGCAACTAGTGCGAATACTCCGTAATAATCTAAATGTAAAAGAAATCATCTAAATATGAATAAAAATATCATTTATCCTTAAAATAAAAGTTGTAATATTATAACACTGCATACAAACATCTTACTGTATTCTTTAATATTATATATTGACATTTTGGCATAGTACTTCTATTTTAAAGATAAAAAACAAGAACTTTTATTTTGATATTTTTTCCATGTTTTACACCTTGGTTAGTCGTTTTCCCAAAATCTAACAAAGTTTTCTTGGTTAAAAATCACATTATTTTATGCCCCCTCTTTAAAAAAAGGATTCCACATTCATTTCTTACACTTTCTACAAAATACTTCCACCTCATTTAAAATGTCTAAAATATCACCAAAACAACTATCATCAATAAAGAAAAAATTAGGTGTTTCTTTAGATACATTAGGCGAGACCCAAAAGTTTTACAAGATGATTAACATTGGTATCAAAGAAAATGTATCAAAGAAACCAGACCCAAAAGTTTTACAAGATGATTAACATTGGTCAAAAATGCTTGACAGTACAATGTAGAATGCAACAGGTGTGTCCTAAAACAAGTGCATGACTATTCACTTATTGGGAAAAATCTATGTAGCGTTCTGGCTACACCAGGGAAGAAGGAAGCAGGGAGTTAAAGAACACTCCCAAGAATCACAAGCTTGCCTGCAGGCCGACAATTGTACAACATACCATCATGACCTCAACAAAACAAAAAAAAAAACTTTTGGAGTTACAACAGAAACCCAGTTTTAAAAGAGGGTTTGGTTATACAGCGGCCGCGGCAGCTGTGGGAACATAAGTTGACCTAACACTCCTACTGATTGGGAGGTGAACATACACATCGTGTACCTCTTGCTTACTCATGTCTCCCCTGTCCCTGTCTACCGCGTAGCACACATATACCGTGTCAATTACATTGTCCAGCACATGGACGAAGAACGCCAGAACCACAATCAGCAGCACCCATGCCATTGCAGAAACAAAGTACGCGTCCACTCCTAGGTGAAACCCAGCTATCAACACAGCACAAACCTGGGGGCGCAGAAAACATTCAGTCTATATAGTGTGTGATATAGTTTAACAGAGATATTAACACAACCACCATGATTTGCTCACCAAGATGGCATATATTGCAGAAAGAACTACGACAATTCCAGCAAGTATGCGTGTGGAAATGATCTCCACAACTACAGCTGATAAGAGGTTACGTTCTAGAAGTTCGTATGTCATCTTGGCAGACGTGCAGTATGATTCGCCAGTAATGGCAGCAAAGTTGATTGTGAACTTGTTAAGGAACTCAACTGCTGAGAGAAGGGTGCTAACACAGAACCTAAGGATGACATTTACAATGCCGGGAGCCTCTTGTCTTGCACTGTCTACCACGGAACGCACCACACGAACAACACACACAATCAACCCAGAAAAACACAGTGTGCCTGAAGATGTTCCAAAAGCATTTCTGCAAATTTTTCACACGGAATTAAAAGCTATTTAGATGATTACAAGAGAAGAGAAGAAGAATATGGTAAATAGAAACCATCTAAGGTGGCATTAAATTATTATACAAAGAGTTTCTGGTTCACTAGCAAGATGTATACATCACGATACTGTAAGAAGAAATATATAGAACGAAAAATTTTGGCAGTTTTCAGTAGGAGGAAATTTGAGTGGTTTTCCCTCTCCTTTGTTTTATTCTCAACTCATTGCTTGCCTACTATAGAGTTTTTGAAATCAAACCCCTTGTAATATTATATACTCCGGGGTAGATGGTCTTACACATTCAAAACATCATCAAAAGAATAGGAAATGACATAAAATTTGAACCCCAAGATAGTTTAATACTTCAATATATCAACCTAAAAGAAGAAAACCATTCAATTTGAACGGTTGAGGAATTAACGAGCACCAAGATTTTTCATTTGCTCATTGATTTGGCGTTACCAAATCATAGGATGATATGATGATAGGACGTAAACAGTTTATGTGTGTATAAACACTGCAAAAAAACACCCACTACATAACATCTAGTAGGTTCAACAATTCAGACTAATATAGACAGAAGGTGAAATTACACCTAAATACTGAACTACCCCACCCTATATCTTTTATTAAGTTCCTTAACAAGCAACTACTCTGCGAAGCATTTTTCAACAACCTAGCTAGATACCCCTACTGTAAGTTTGTAACCACAATTCAGTCTTTATCACTCCAAATGCATTCACTTATTATGGACTCATTTTTTAAAAACAGTTAGAGTCGTACTTAGGAATATGATGTACTCCTAACTGCTGATCTGTAGGAGCAAATGAGTCCAATTCTGATGTACAAACTACAAAGCATAGCATTGCCTAAAGCCAGAAGAAGAGATACCTAATGGAGCTTCTTATGCTCTTTTTGGAACTTGAATTGTCCTTGGAGAAGTACCACTGTGCTATTGTCCCACTGATCACATACACCTGAGCTTCTATCATTGTTGTGGCAGACCATAGCATTGTGAGAATAGCTAAAGCATAGTATGCAGGCACCCATTTGTCTTGCTTCCAACCACAATAGTATTCTCCCTTGGGCACAACCTTCCCGTTCATCCTTGCGAAAATCAAGAAAACAACAATGGGAGCATAGTAAACGAACAGCCCAAATGTCAATGCCGGGAGCACCCCAAACAACCTCAAATTCTTTGAGAGGGCATTGGAAGCAACTCCGATTATACGCACGGTCAATTCTATCCGATGCCAATTCACAATGAAGATCCAAACAACCACCCCTATGATCAAGAACACGAAAGCAAGCACCAAGATCCTATACCCCATTGGAAATGCGTCGCTGCAACTTGAGTTCACAGTGCAGGCCACGAACCAGTAGATGTTCGCAGCCACCGGAAGGATAATAAAGAAAGGGAAGACAGAGTAAACTATTTGCTTAGTATAACGCTTGAGCAAGAAAAGCACAAAGAGCACAAATGGCAAGCTTAAGAACAGAGTAACCACCAGAGTCCAAATCAAGCTCTTCAATACGCCGGAATCAGATAATCGCAGAAAAACAAGGTCATCTGAATCTGGGAGAGTGCAGGAAAGGGACGTGGCGTTGTAAACATATGAAGAGATGTGGGAGCGGTGAGGGTTTCGTTTGACGGAGGCATATATTCCGAAGCCATAGGTGGAGAGGACGAGGATTGAGAAGAGGATGAGGAAAGGGAGGTCCTTGATATGCCGCGGGCCGTAGTTGTAAGAGATCTGGAGAAACTGGGATTGGTCTTCCGTGTCTGATTGGGAGCTGGGGGCTATAAGATCGTCGATCGGAGGATACGGCTTAGAGAGGAGAGGTCGGGTCGGGTCGTGGAGTGTTGAGGGTAGCTTGTTTGAATCCTCTTCGCTGGCGGCGGCCATGGCTTCCGGTCACCGGACTGGTCTCAACAGCTCAAAAGCTATCGGGAATGTGAGAAACAGCATGGAGTGATTGGGTTTATCTGCAACACAGTCATCATCTGCAGAAGAAACTGGCCCTAAACAGGGGAGGGGTATTATGGCTCGCTTGATTGCGGAGTAAAAATTTAATCTCCCTAAACGGGAGAAGATGAAATTTAATCTCCCTTTGGTCAAAATTTAAATATTCTTTGATTGATTACTACCGAAGTAATAATAAAGGCCATGTTCAATTCCTTTGTTTGAATGAAGAGAAGTAAAGAACAAATAAAATGAGAGGAAAAAAAAAGATATAGAGAAAAGAAATGACAAGACTACAAGGAATGGTAGTTTATCCCGTAAGTCTTATTTTGTAATCAAATTTAACAATGATGAACCATTCTAATACGTCACTTCATGTCTAGGCATTGACGTTTTCAATCTTAAACACAATTTTTTTTAAGGTTGAATGATTTTGATGTTCAAACTTATGACCTTTTGATTAACAAGATTTTGATACTGTCTCAATAAATTAATTCAACCAAAAATTCAAATTTATGTTTGTTTTTCAATAAAGATTTTTATACTTCTAAAGGAGAGCGTGAGAAGAAATAAAAAGAATACTCTCCTCTATTTGTTTGGTTAAAGAAAAAAAGTACTCTCATCCGTCCTAAAATTAATTTTTCAGTTTGACATTTGTAGTCAAACTTTTTAAACTTTGACCGTATATTATGGAAAAAATATATTGAATTTTCATATAAATTTATTAGCAATATATTCATTTTGAAACATAGTTTTGAAATATATATTTTTTATAAAATATATTTATATAAAAATTGAGATATAAATGGTCAAAGTGTCGCATTGGAAACCGTGAAAAGTCAAATGAGAAATTAATTTTAGGACGGAGAGAGTAAGAAAAAGAAAATGTGATGTAAAAATCAACTTGTAAGGTGCAATTGGAGGGGGTGGGGGTGTGTGTTCAGGTCGGGGCGGGGCGGGGGGGTTTATCGGGGGTTGAGGAGTAGGAACCGTCAATTTTACGAACGGGGCACCGGAGCGGCCCCGGTCATGGGAACCTTGACCTAAGAATTTTGTACAAGAGGGTAAGATAATGAATGCTTCATTTGTTTCGAAAGAACAATTCAACTAAAATACTGAGTGGAGCAAGCAAAACAGGAAGAAAAAAAAAGAGTGCTAATAATGTGCTATAGTGAGAATCCCACCCACCATTAAAACAAAGGTCAACTGAAGGGGAGGATACAAAAGCAGATACAGCCTTAGAGCAGCAGCAGCAGCTAGGGCCCTAAAATTCTCAACTGTGCACGACGCTAAACTTCACCAACATTGTACCAGCAACAATACACGGGGAAGAAGTTAAATGTCACTGTCAATTATATTTTTTTATTTTTTAAAAAAAACCCACATTCATTCATTTATTCAGATTTCACACTATTATACGTAATTTGCAATTCCCAATTGCAATTGCAAGTTTTTGTTTGAGTTTGTGTTTGTGTGTGGGTGCATGTGAACTCTACTGCCATTGTCATTCCGCCACTCTCATTCGCACTGTTTCTCCTGTGATTCCCATTCCATCTCTGTGACCACCATCATTTTCCTTCTTCTTCCTTTTTTCTATAAGAAGAATTCCCACCGCCCCCCTGTTCTTGCTCTTTAAGCTGTTTCAGTGTGTGCGTGTCCCAAGAATCAAGGATGAAAAGCACAACAAAGCTGTCACTTTTTTCCATCTCCATCTTCACCCTCTGCATCTTTATCACCCCATCTCTTTCAACCTATGGTAATCTCTCTCTGTCTCTCTCTCTCTCTCTCTCTCTCATTCTCTCTTTCAAGTTTCAATGACGCCTGACCCAGTGCTCTGTTTGCTCTTTTCCATTGCAGATGGTCCGCTGTACGACTCTACAGCCTACACAGAGGTCGGTACTCTTTCACATTGTCAAAGTCCCTATTTTTAAAGAAAATGAAAACTATCCTTTGAAGGGGGCACGAAATTACGAGTTAAAAACTTTGTGGTTGAGATTTATGTGTAAGCAAATGTGAATCACATATTACTTCTCAAATCGAAACATACACAAGAAAATATTAGGCCAGAACGAAAGGAAAACAAATTAGAACTGAAGAGTATTTATACGTACTAAAAATAAGCATTAATGTGGTGTGGGGTTGCAGTGCAAACAGAACCCGGAGGAGCCATTATACCGGGGAGGAATACTGGCGGATAATGCGCCGGAATTGCGACAGGTCATTGGGCTCGACGGGAAGGGAGTTTATACCCACACCTTCCTGCTTCCCAATTTAACCGCAGACACAGTCTATTGTTTTTCCAGTTAAGTTGTTGTGTCCCTCTAATTGCCCCCCTCATGTGAATCAATCTTTCTATATAGGATTATATCACAATCACGCCACGGATGACACCAAGGTTGAAAATGTTAGTGTATACTTTGGTGTCATGCATATCTGCGGTGAAAGTAGCATTTTCCTTGTGTATAGACTTCCAAACTTCAAGGATATTGAGAGTGTTGGTGATGTGATGACAGGTTGGGTCCGATTGGAAGACGAAGAATCTGCTCTCTTGACTGCTACGCTGTTGTCGGAAAAGGGCGCACAAGCGGACTGCATAGGGACTGTAGTTGCCAAGAGAGGATGCTGGTCCTTCATCAAGGGGGGTTTCCTTTTGACTTCCCCATCTAACTTATCTCTACTCTACTTTATGGTACTACATGCAAACCAACATCTAATACCTTGTTCTTATTCTTACTTTTATGTGTATCATCAATGTACCAAGAGAGTTTTTTTCTTTCTTTCTTTCTTGAAAAGAATTCAGCCACAGCAGATATCAATATAGAGATTGCAAGCGCTTCTTTACAGCCGTTTACTCAGCAACAATGGAGATTGAATCAACAAACCAAAATTAACATGGTAATGCACTAAGCTTTCTTTACATTCTTTACTCCAATTCATACTAGAACTGGGAAAATCTTTTAAAGAAACCAGTTTTACAGCATGGTTCACTATCACTCCACTCTTGTTGTTTGATCAGGAGAGAAAGCGTGCCGTAACAATCCATGCCTCAGACAGACAGGGGATTAGACTAAAGAATGCAACTGTAACAGTTGAACAAATATCAAAAGATTTCTCATTTGGATCTGCAATATCTAAATCCATCATAGGAAACTTGCCCTACCAGGTTGGTTTCCCACCATTCCTAGTGTCTGAAATGTTGTATGTAAACACAATTCAGCCAGCATGAGCTTATTCTTTTTGTTTCTTACGCACAGGAATGGTTTGCGAAGCGGTTTAATGCAGCAGTTTTTGAGAATGAGCTAAAGTGGTATGCAACAGAACCCGAAGAAGGCCATCTCAATTACACTATACCTGACCAGATGCTGAGCTTTGTGAGAGAGCACCAGATTGCGGTGCGAGGCCACAACATCTTCTGGGAAGATCCCAAATACACGCCGAAATGGGTTCTCAACCTGACGGGCCCGGCCCTGGAATCTGCAGTCCAGTCCAGAATCCAGAGCCTGATGCAGAGCTACAGAGGCGAGTTCATCCACTGGGATGTCAGCAACGAAATGCTGCATTTCGACTTCTACGAGCAGCGTCTGGGGCCCAATGCCACTGTAGAGTTCTTCAAGACGGCACACGAAGCAGATCCGCTCGCGACCCTTTTCATGAACGACTTCAACGTCGTGGAAACGTGCTCCGACCCCAAGTCCACCGTGGACGCGTACATTGAGAAGATGAGGGAGCTGAAAGAGGGGGGAGTTTCCATGGATGGGATTGGGCTGGAGGGTCATTTCACAGTTCCAAACCCTCCCTTGATCCGGGCAATCCTGGACAAGCTCGCCACCCTGGGGCTCCCGATTTGGCTCACCGAAATCGACATCAGCAAGAAACTGGGCCAAGAAATGCAGGCAAGGTACTTGGAAATAGTTCTGAGAGAAGGGTTCTCGCATCCGGCGGTGGACGGGATGATGCTGTGGACGGCGTTAGATCCAAAGGGGTGCTACCAAATGTGCCTTACTGATAGCAACATGAACAATCTGCCGGCGGGAGACGTGGTCGACGATCTGCTGAAGGAGTGGCAGACCCAGAGGTTGGAAGGGGAAACGGACGAGCATGGCTGTCACAGTTTCTCTGGGTTCCTGGGAGAATACCTAGTCAGGGTCGACTACAGTAACAGGACATCGAGCTCGACTTTCTCCCTTAACCGCGGCGATGAGACCCGGCATTTTAGCATTCAAGTCTGAACATGACTGTTCATGTCGTACCTAATTCACCCACCAGAACGTTTCACACTCACAGATAGAAATGGATGAATTTAGATATTGGGGAAAAGTTTGAATCTATACAAGAATTGAGACTCCGTGAGGACCACATGCATGTGAACTGTTCGTGTAAATGCCTCAGATGGCACCCATATTTAGCTTCAAAAGTTAACTCTTATTGAAACAACATTAGACAATATGAACAAAAAAAGAAGAAGAAGATAATACGAATACTAATACAGTACTAAATTAAAACTAAACCAGATCTTCTTCTTCATGAGATACTTCTTCTACAACAATGGGGATCTAAATTAAGAAAACGAGAGAGAAGATGAACGAGGCAAACGCAAAGTAATTTAGAGTCTCCTTCGTAGCCAGAACCGGGCTTGATTTGCCCATGGCTAACCCGGCCAAATACGACCCGTCCCTGAGAAATGCCTCGGATTCTGACCCGGTTCCAGCTGTAGTTGAACCGCTACCGGTTTGTCCTGACCCGTCAAATTCCATCCCCATACCCAAACTCGGGCCCGCTGGCTCTGTTTCCGGGTCAGTAATTCCCGAACCGGGTGTGGGCCCCCCACTCTCTGTGTTCCTCGTCACGGGTGTGGTCGTCGTCGTCGCTGTTGTCGCGTTCTTTGAGGATTTTTGACTGGGAACAGACGGGCAAAACGTCACCGTATAGTCCGCGCCGCTGCACGTGAATGTACTGGTGGGATCGTCGTAGGCGTAGCTGTAGGACCTGGGGCACGCGGACTTGAACATCTGCGAGTACACCGAGGGTTTGCACGAGGACGGTGTGCTGTACGCGCCGCTGCAGCAG